GAGTGATTAAAACAATGGAAATTATGTCTGATTGGTAATCAGACACAATGACCTTAGCTTCAGTGATCCAATATTTAGGATTTGTTGCCAAATTCATTGATTTAAAGCTGTGAGTCGTCAACTGCGCATGCATCAGATGGCCATAGCGTGTCATTGTTTACAAACAAGCATCTAGCAATGAGCCTTTGCATTTTTATCGTGTGTTATCATTGCTTGGGACTCGATTCCCGCGTGTGCGAAGGTTACGACCCTCTCGCTTTAATCAAAGACATCTGCTGTCTTTAATCAGTTGGCATGGTGATTACAATAATTTGCATTTAATACCAACTAGGAATGCAGCTGTAAGAATATTTGAATATTCAAATTCGTTTGTGGGATAGGCAGCATAAAACAATTACCAGGGAGCTGATCTACATACTAGCCACTCATATTTCGTGAATTAAGCTCAACATGTCATTCTCTGTATTTACCTATTCCAATCATAACCAGATTTTTTTACCGAAAATATGATTGAAAAGTTCACTCAGAATCGAGGTATACACTGACATATTAAAAATATTATTCAGTACGACACTAACAATTTTGTCAATTGTAACCCTCCGAAATCACAACACCCTAATCGTACTTCCTAAAACAGTGAGACGTCGTCAACCGAATCAAGTAGGCTCTTAAGATCTGGGGGGGGGGGGTTCTCTGAATAAAATATGGCACGCAAACTGAAGTAAAAAATAACACGTATAACTAAAAGGGGTGTTATTGAGTTACACGCGTATACGGTGTTTAGCTAAGTGTGAACAAAAGAATCTAGAAACAGTATGATTTTAGTATGTATACAGGGTATCTATTTTAAGTTTCCGCACTTGAAAAGGGGTATAATTTCACAAAACAAGTACGTGTTTAGAGGCTTTTTTTGAAAAGCTATACTTCAGCATGGGTACGAGGTCTGATTTGAAGTACCCACCCCTTGGGCTTCAGATATACCCAGATAGAGAAAATGCGTTGCGTGTATTTCCGTGGAAACTATTACGTACTAATAAAACAAGCGCTCACACGTAATACTCGTAGGTGCGGACTATCTGTTATGATATCATGGTCGTCAACTTGAATGGTCATATTTACCGTAAATGTCCATAAAATTGTACTTCATTATATAATTTTAGTTGGTCTATATATAAACTTTTTATTACTACATTCAATTATATTATTTGTTTCACAAAACTTCTTTTTTTTTTTGTATTTTCTGCATTCCCGATCAAATCATGGACGTTGTTTTCTTGGTGATCGGTTACCTCTTTTCATCAACTGCCATGCTTTTTTCAGCAATGGGCAAATCCACTTTCGAAAATCCCAACATGTTTTGACATCATTTTGATTCATAGAAATGATTTCTTAACTTTCTTTCTGTTTTGACTTAAAATAAAAGTAAAACTACGCTCTAATACTACAAGTGGTAACGTGAAGTCTTTCCCAGGGTGATTTTACTTCTAAAATTTTGCAATTATTTGAACAAATTAAGTTGTTTAAACAATACGGGTGGCTACACTGGAGTTGCAGCATATCATCCGTTTATTTGTCATATTTTGAACAAAACTGTCTAAAAATTAATGTCTAAAATCACAAAGTATGTTGCAAGTTGCCATGATGCTTTCCAATCTATTAACAATCATAATCTCAAACTGATTGGATAGGCGAGTATAAATACTAATAAAAATAACTAATACATTTTGTGAATGTAACTTGTTGTGAAACAATACGCGACAAAGTACTGTGGAATACTTTATTTTCGCTGGAATTAATTTTCGCTGAAAAGGCTTTTGGGGCGTTTTGTGTGGAATTTATTTTCACTGCTTTTTGATGAGTTTAATGTGAAATATAGGAACAAAAGTATATTCACTGGATTTTATTTTCACGGAATCATCCCTTCAGCGAAAATGGCGAAAATAAAGTATTCTACAGTATCTTGGAATTAGCATTCAGTGCAAACCAGACAAGATATATCAAAGGTATATAAATAACTCGGAGGTAATGAAACAAAATAAATATATTACAGGAAAATATATATATTTAATAAAACCACAAAGAATTACGTTAAAAACAAACATGTTTATGGACAGAATCTCGAACAAAGCAACAAGAGTTTCTAAAGGTCGGGAAGGGGACAGACGTTTTGGTTTTATAAACGCTCTCATTTTGTTTGTTACTCAAGGCACATCTGAGTGGAGATCGATACATCAGACACGGGGAGGGGGTGGCGAGGAATATGATTTGCTGCTTGACTATTTACGCAAAGTCAATCTTCAGCGAACCGTCGCCGTGATAGACTGACACGTAGGCGTGAGTGGCAACGTCGCCCGCCGAACGGCATCAGTTGGGTTTGGAGCACCGCGGAGGGCGCAACTTGCGCGACCTAGTCAGGCTGTCACCGTGACCGCTCTCTTGGACAGCCCGGGGTGCACTCGCCATTGATAAATACTTTTCCCAAATCCCCCCGAAAAGGTTTCTCCACTTTCACCTGCATCATTATTCCAGAATAATTTCACCACAAGGACATTGACAACACCATTTGTCTGGGTTAAAGGACGTCGGTCGATATGGGATCCACAACGACGCATAAAACGCGCGAAAAATGAAGTGTTTACGTGAAATTCGACCACCAAACACGTCACTGTGAAAGCACTTTTTGATTTCGAATTCATAAATGTTTGAACAACTTACCATTATTTGGGTTTACTATGGAACTGGTGATTTTGTTTTCTAAAATTCGAAGCTTTGTTGCCGTCGTTCATAAATCTTTCATTGTTTTGTAAAACTGATGGTTCTCCGTTTTTAAACTTTTATTAGAGTTAGCCATCTATGTCGTGTGAATGTGAATGCGAATGCTCTTTACGTGTACATCAGGAGCGGATCTACTAGTAGGATTCTGGAATGGTGGTGGTGGGGGGACGATAAGTTCGCGAGCGCCGATGGCGCGAAGCCCTGCCCTGGCCCTGTTGGTTGTTAAATATAGGGGGGACTGCGGCCCCTCTAAATCCGCCCATGCACATGTCTTTACGCTAAATGTAAGAACATTGATTCTATAAATATTCGACGAAATATACATAATATAGAACTTTTATTAGACGGGGGGGGGCAAGGGTTATTTTCGTTCAACGTAATTGTAACATTTTTTTTGTTCGTACAACGTAAATTGAAAAAAATAAATTCCGTAATTCTGTAATCACAGGCTAGACGTACAACGTAATCAATCAAATATTTTTTTCGTACACTGTAAAAATGTGTAATTTTTCTCGGTACGTACAAGAATTTACATCCAAATAAAAAAAATCGTAAAGAATAATCCAGGGAAATTACATTTTAGAAACTGTAAAACGGCTAGATGACACAATTCACTGCAAAATTTAATTTTCACTGTAAACTGTAAAAACGTCTTTTTTTCCTTGTAAATTGTAAAAAGCCCATTTTATTTCTTGTAAAACTGTACTAGCTACCCCTTGCCCTCCCTCTAGCCCATGTTCGGGAACCTGTATTGAATAACCTCAAAAAACAGTTATTTTTGTATTTTGTTGCTTCTGTTATTGATTTGTTCACAGTCCCTCCCTGTGGAGGGACTGTGGAGGATCTGTGATTTGTTGTTGTTTTTAAAGTGATGTTTGATACACCAGACGAATCCCTGAATAATGCGCCCTCTATGGCAAGGTTTAAAAATTACCTTTTAAAATAAATGCGGCGCATGCGTAGTTGTTTCACACGTGTTGTACAGTATCAGCTGAAATCATGAGGCCAGGTATTTATACATTTAATTTATTGCTTATTTACGCTTGATTCAAAATTTTAAACCATTGCAGACAGGCGTGACATCGATGTAGACTCTCTGCCAAACCTATTTTGTTACCAGTGGTGTAATTTGTGTGCTTTTTGACCCGACTTATGTGAGCGCAGCGCGACAACAAACATTCGATTTACACATGTGACATGTGGCTTTTGTACAGTTTGTTCTGTAGATCGTTTGCGTTCTCCACAACTTTCTTATTAAACAAAGCCTTATTCGGTGTTTTGTGATTGTACGGTTTTGGTGAATCACGAGTGGAACTGGGAGTATGTTTCGGCACATGACCTTGTATTTGTATTCGCTACACAACCGACGCGTGTGATTGTGTAATTAGGAATCGGTGGGTCACTCGATGGGAAGTGGTGCATTTCCCATTCACAGACAGCCATATTACAGCACCGCTTGGTTTTGCCATAGAATATAATATGTACATGTAACTTAGATAACAATGAATCTTCCTGAATATTATACATGTCCATTTGTAAATATAAATGACTGTATCTTGGGTCAGTTTTCCGTTCTCTGCGAGATCTCGCGTTAAACGCGAAAGGCGCAGACCGAACGTCTACAGCGAAAATTAAACTTTTTAATAGTTCAGTTCCAAAAATGCTGACCTTCTAGAGGTAAATGTGGCAATGAGATAAACTTACTTCACCAAGTTGCCACTACTTGTACCTTATTATTCGCTGTCCAATCTCGGACCAATCAGAGAGCAGCTTGTATGATGACATGACAGCATATACACAAGGCAGAATTTGATACGTCAAAAAAAATCTGTCACAAACAAGCTGCTAGTTGATTGGTCCGATCAAACTTGTCTGTCTAAAACGCTGTATGGACTAGTTTGAAGTTCTTCCTTATTTTGAATTTGTATGTCACATTTGAACTTTTTTCCTTGTTAACAACGGATGCAGCATAATGTAGTACATGACTGAATTAGAATCATGTTACTGAAGGTAAAACAATGGGGTGTCCATACATAAATTTTTGTAACATTTCAGGCTGTTATATTGTAAAATACACACTCTGGCTGACTGCTTTGCATCAACATCTGATAAGACCACCGTACTACCTTTGTGCATCCTTTGTGATATTCTCGTATCCTCATATTATTTATTATAAATGACGAAATACATTCTTTTCTTGTAGGATTTTCTCCAAGAGGCGGTGGTGGCAGAGGAGGTGGTGGACGTGGTGGTTTTGGGGGCCGGGGAGGGCGTGGAGGAGGATTTGGAGGGAGAGGTGGTAGTCGAGGCGGATTTGGTGGCGCGAGAGGTGGAGGCGGACGTGGAAGAGGATTTGGTGGAAGAGGTAAGATCACTTGATTTAAAAGGATGCATGGCTGTCCTATGTTATCTCCAAAGACTGTCTTCCATCAAGATCGGCAAATAAAAACACAGTATTGATGTGAAATTCATGTGCTGTTTTTTTTTTTTTATGATTAAATGATAACAGTGCATAATTTTCTGCTTTGATTGAATTCAACAAGTATGACTTCGGTTTCGTTCAGAATATTAAGTGATATTTATTTATAGCAAATTGCCGTAGAATTAAATATTTGCGTGTTTTTGCAAAAAAAAATAACATGAACATTTTTTGTTGCTTAAAGTGGAAGGGTTGTCTCCTGTGCATGCGCGAGGATTGAGTCCAACGCGACGGTAACAACACTCGCTAAAACGCAAAGGCTCATGGATAGACGTATGCGCAGGTGACAACTCCCCTGCTTTAATTGTATTTTGATTGTTCAGTCTTTGTTAAAATCACATTCGCACTTCCCAGATGTGTGGGGAACCACCCCCTGACCTGTATATATACCATACAATTTTGAGATCCTGGATTATAGGAATTATAATCACCGTCTTAACTAGGTGGCAATGAGGTTGGATAAGTAGTGAGCAAAATTTGGTTAGCAAAATTTTGTTCACCAAATCAGATAAGGGACCTTTAGCTTTAACCTAGTTCTGATGTCTTAATGCAACTTTAGTTGCCATTGTTGAGAGCTGTAATTCATTCCAGGAATAAGTCGTATCTAATTTGGTTTTTGATTATTCTGATGTGAAACTGCAAAATAAAACTGTTTGTCACTGAGTGTGTATGAAAACGTGTGTGGTGGTTTGGGCTTGCATATAAAACTTTCAAGATCTCAATATGACAAACACAACTTTTATCCAGAATTTTAGACAAATTGGAAAGTCTTAACTGTAATCTAGACATCATGGGTTTTGGCAACAATTGGCTAGGCAGTACATAGAAAATGGTGTCTGACGAACATTCAGACCTACCCTACCTTTAATGAAATGCGCGTTATCAGATCCACACAATTTCTTTTTTTTTGGCCTGACTTTAAATAATTTTGACTTTAAATATTTTGTATTACAGGACGCGGACGAGGAGGACGTGGAGGTGAGTTGTAATTATTCATAGTGAAAGACGATATTGGATTTTTTTCTGTGAACAGAAGACATGTCATTTATTTGATACAGGTGTCTAGAAAATTATTCCTATTTGTACAAACATTGTTGAATCATGGTCAACCTTGTATGAGGGAGGTATGCAATGTACCGTACTTTCCCCGAGTATAAGCCCAGGGGCCTGAACATGTAAAATCGAGAAAATTAGGGGGGTGGGCTCATGCTTGTGGACCACCTAAAAAAAGAAAATTTTTTGGAGGGTTTAAAATTGTAACCCTCTTCCCAATCTCGAAAAATCATCAAAGTTACATTTTTCGTTCACATCGCCGGTCTCAGAGAAATATTATGTCTTTTTGATTTCCACAACACTTTTTACAATGAAGAAATAAATATGTTCATAAAAATACACACATTTTATTACAATACGATTTACATACCGTCTGAATTTATGGTGCAAAAATGGATAGGGTCAGTGGGAAAACTGCCAAAGGCAAGATCTTTATCATAATCTTCGTTGTGGAATGTTTTTGATCGCTCGCACACTCTCGATACAAAGCAATTTCCGCCATGCTGTTTTTCATCATGATTTGACCTGAACAACTTCCTTTGACCTAACAGGTCATGTCATGTCATGCTGTGTTGTACAGACAAAGTTTTCCGATTATTGACTAAGTAATCTTTTCAACGCAATGCGGAAATGAATTACTGCGATGTTAAAATGCCATCTGATTTCAACAAAAAACGGTGATTTTTTTTCCCTAAAACTGTTGATTCGCAATTTTTGAAAAGTAAACTGAGGGTGGAGGAAGTATTTAAATGTTTCACGGCCAACAAGTCACGTCGAAGAATAGTTTGCTCGTTTACATCCCATTCACGAAGGTCTCAATAGACACGATTATTCGGGAAAAGTAAAACGATGTTCAATGACCATTTTTGGCGTTTCTAAAACCACTTCTCAAAAGGAATATTGATTAAAGGTGCGAATCATGTTCCGTACATTCGCCGGCCATGCACTCTGAAATTAATGGAGTTTTCTCATAAAAGCAGGAACCAAACTACCGTACGAATCACGATTATTATGCAATGAAATACACTATTTACTTGCATATTTTTAGTCCCCGTTCGGACGCAGTCCGAAAACGGGGACTTATGTTTTGCCCTGTGTGCGTCCGTGCGTCCGTGCTTCCGTGCGTCCGTGCGTCCGTGATCACCTGTATCTCGAACATGCATGGACCGATTGAGTTCAAACTTCACTCATACATCACACATTATATGGGACATATGCACATGCATTTTTTTCATGATCTGATTAACGATAGCCGAATAGCGGCCATTTTAAGGCCGAAAATGCATCAAAATCGCACATTTTCACCATTCCGGACCCGGATCTCAGTTATGCATGGACGGATTTTGTTCAAATTTGGTACATACATTAAACATAATAGGACCTTGATGCACGTCATTTTTTTTTTTGGATCGGGTTCGAAATGGCCGACTGGCGGCCATTTTGTTTTAAAGAATTCAGTTCTGGATCCGTATCTGAGACATGCTTGGATTGATCGAGTTCAAACTTCACACACACAAGGTACATCATGTCACAAATATGTATGTGCATTTGTTTCATGATCTCATTAACGATAGCCAAATGGCGGCCGCTTTAAGGCCGAAAATGCATTGAAATCGCACATTTTCACCATTCCGGACCCGGATCTCAGTTA